GTGGCGAGGGGTGTTTAGAAGTGGGCGGAATGAACCAACAAAAGCACAAACACTTGGTGCAATGTGATTGGTCCGACCCATTGCTTTTTCAATTCGAATGCATTGACGGAAGTGTAAGACGGAAAAAGGTCGTGGCCTTTTTTTCCGACATTCCACCGTCAAATGTCATTGGGGTGGGTTACGAATCGCATGCGGCTCGGTTACAAATGCGGTTCGACTATAGGGGGTTTCTTGACTTCTATCTTATGGAGTATAAAAACTCACTCGTCGTTGTGAAATGTATCCTCTCTGGAATTGTGTACCCAGCCCCATATAATCGATGATTTCGTTCTCATTACTTGGCCATTCTTGGCGTTCTTTGGTACTACGGATTCGTCACTCAGAGACCTATTCAGAAATAGCTCACATAAATTGTTTCATCAAGTATTGAGTTCACGACGGCGTTTTAAGGCGGACGGTTCTTCCTGCACACAGCCGCCCACAGGCACTCACAGCCATCCACAGGTCTTCCCTTCAGCCACAGCGCACCATAGCCGCCACTTCAACACAATGCCTACTACCATAGGCATTCCTAGTGGAGGCTGGCAGCCGCAATTACTTCTACTGGCGCGGATTAGCGTTAGTACCCCGACGCTACAGACGTTCCTAGCCCAGTTCGCTCCTCACTCCAGTCACTCCTAGCTCCAGCCGTTCCTAGCTCTGGCCGTTCTCTCTCCAGTCGTTCTAGCTCCAGTCGTTGTCACTCCAGCCATTCTAGCTCTAGCCGTTCTCGCTCCAGCCTTCTAGCTTCGGCTGTTTCAGCTCCAGCCGTTCTCGCTCCAGCCGTTTCAGCTCCAGCCATTCTAGGTCTAGCCATTTTAGCTCCAACCGTTCTAGCATTAGTCGTTCTCGTTTCAGCCGTTCTAGCTCCAGCCGTACTCGCTCCAGCCGTTCTTCCTCTAGTCATTCTAGGTCCAGCCGTTTCGGCTCCAGCCGTTATAGCTCCATATGTTCTAGCTCCAACCGTTATAGCACCAGCCGCCTACAACACTTTGTCACTCCTTGCTCCAGCCGCTCCTCGCTCCAGCCGCTCCTCGTACCAGCCGTTCCTAGCCTGGTGGTCCTTAATCTTTCTACCTCAAGCAGTTCCTTGTTCCGGCCACTCCCTCAGTAGTTCTTCTCGCTGTTGCCCAACTAGACTTTTCCCATGGCGTCCACTCGGGCCTTACAGCGGCAGGGACATCAACAGTTTCAGCAGTGTGGACCCCAGCAGCTGCAGAGATAACTAATACAACGGAAGCTAGACTACGGGCTAGGCACGGTGCAAGAGTGATCATAGCGTTTGTTCACTTAGTATTTTCGTTGTGTTCACTCTACTAGCTAGTTTACGGGGAAGAATTGTAAGAGTTTCACTAGGAAAGTTGACAAGAAAATGGTACAATCAGGTTGGCAAGACCGGACTACATCAAAGCTAGCAAGCAAGCACGTCGACTGCGAGCGCCACAATCGACCGCGTTCCAGTACTGCTTGATCCGCCGCGCTCCAGCAATGCAAAGTCAACGGCGTGCCAACGCTGCAGGTCGACGACGTCCAGCATTGCTCCTGCATGACAGTAGCGCACCTACTTCGCATGTGCTTGCAGGTGATTGGCGTGCCGTGCCTTGTCACCTGCACAACGCACACACCAAATCAACCTCGTGCTGACGAATGTATCTGATCAGCCACGTCGACCTCGGGATACCACCACCGAGGTCGGCCTCGCCACGGACACCTGGGCGACTGTCACGTGCCTTCGCAGAACCCCATCACTCAGGTAACATGGTCGACCAAGCAGCCACGTCAATTAGCTGCTCGTTCACGTGCCCGTCGACCACACAAGTCGGCGACCACTTCATGTCGACGTCACTAGGTCGACCACACCCTTGGTCGACCAAATCCGGCTCAACGACGCCCCTTTAAGTCGGCGCCGACTTCCAGGTCGACCTCTTGAAGTCGGCGACCTTTTGAAGTCGACGACCTCGCAGGTCAGCGCATGCGCAAGTCGGCGACCTCGCAGGTCGGCGCATGCGCAAGTTGTCAGAATATTAATGTGTGTCTAGCCTGCAGTGGGGTACTCTATAGCGAGTACAACCCGATTTAGGGTTTCGTATATGTATCCTGCTGCTGCTAGTGAAAAGCCCTCTTTCCTGTTTCTCGTTTTGCCTAGCTATTTCGACATGCTATCAGAGCAGGTCGACCCTCCTGGGTCGATCCTGTGGGTGGGCCCCACCCGATGCTTCCGCTGCTCTACTGCCTGTAGCGCGCCCCGGGCGCGCGCCGTTTTCTTACTGCCGTGCGCTCGGAGCGTGCAGCGTTGCGGTTTTCTGCCCTGCCCGCCGCGCGCCCCGAGGCGCGCGGCGGTTTTCTGCCCCGTCGACCCGCGCGTCGCCCCCCGTCGCACGTTGCAGCGCCCCCGGGGACCTGCGCATCGCCCCCCGTCTCTCGTAGCGGCCCGCGCGACCGGCGCCAGGCCCGCGCGCAGCCCGTGCAGCCCGCGCGCGGCCCGTACGGCCTGCGCCAGGCCCGCGCGCGGCCCGTACGGCCTGCGCCAGGCCCGCGCGCGGCCCGTACGGGCTGCGCCAGGCCCGCGCGCGGCTCGGGCAGCCCGCGCGCGGTTCGTCCGGCCTGCGCCAGGCCCGTGAGCGGCCTGTACCTTCTTCCCCTATGCCGCACGCCGTCCCCCGAGCTTCTGACCGCGCCCCACCCCCGCTGCTGCCCGCGTTCCTGTGTTAGGGTTTGGGGGTGGAGAGTATGGGGGTGCCGTGTGTGTGAGCCGTCCCCTGCTCCTCCTCCTCCTCCGTCTCCCACTGCTGCAGCTGCCGCTGAGGGGGGTGGATGTATTTGAGCCGTCGGAGTGGTACTAGGGGGGTGGCGTGTGAGCGGTGCTAGTGGTTCAGCAGGGAGTGTGTGAAAGGGGTGTGGGACAGTTGGGGGAGGTTGACCGGAGGTAGCCGACTTGTCGTCCGCAGCGCCTGAAGTCCAGAGAGCCTCGGCCCCCTGTGGCCTGAGTAGTCTGGGGCTCTGCGCCCGGTAGCCACGGTGTGAGCACTCCTGGTAGTCCAGAGAGCCACGACCCCCTGTGGCCTGAGTAGTCCGGGGCTCTGCGCCCGGTAGCCACAGTGTGAGCACTCGTGGGAGCACAGCGAGCCAGCAGCGCCTGTCGCCGTGTAGTCCGGGTTTAGCCTGGTAGCGACAGTGCTGCGCACTTCTGTTGCCCGTGTGTCTGCAGCTTCAGCCGTTGTCTCTCATCTTCTCGCCCCCACAGTTTCTCCTCCTCCTCACTTGCTCTCTGTGATAGTCTCTAGCGCTGCTTATAATTGTATACTACTGCTCTGCCTGCTTGTTGTGTTGATTGTACCCCACTTTGACTATGGGGGTGTGTCAGAATATTAATGTGTGTCTAGCCTGCAGTGGGGTACTCTATAGCGAGTACAACCCGATTTAGGGTTTCGTATATGTATCCTGCTGCTGCTAGTGAAAAGCCATCTTTCGTGTTTCTCGTTTTGCCTAGCTATTTCGACACAAGTCGGCGACCTCGCAAGTCGGCGACCTCCCAAGTCGGCGACCTCGCTAGTCGGCAACCTCCCGAGTCGGCGACCTCGCAAGTCGGCGCCGACTTCCAGGTTGACGAGCCACATCGCCGACTACCAGTTGAGGTCGGCCGCCGGCTTCACAAGTCGGCGGCATTGCAGTGGCCCCATGCACGTTGACCAAACCCGTCGACCAGCTCGCCCAAGTCGGCGTCGCCCACTGCTGCAAGTCGGCTGCACCTCTTGTCCACCCAATCACGAAGTCGGCTCTGCCCAAGCGAGGACGGGGCCAACAACAACTCCCGTTGACAGTAGCCGTGGCGCTCTCCGTAGCAGTGGCACCCTCCGTAGCAGTGAGGGGCTCGTGGTCTGGGGAGCGTCTGTCCAGACGGCTGGAGGGGTAGTCGTGGTAGCCGCAACGTTGGATCTTGCTAGTACGGTACCGGATCTTGACCAGCTCTCGTGCTTGGCGTCCTGACCACTTTGCACTGCACTGCTACAGCCGCCTCTGCGACCTTTACCGTGAGCATTTTTTGCCTGACTTGGTTCCCCCAATCTAGCCTAGTCTGTCTCGTAGTGGTTACCATGTGTTTGATATGTCTATGGATGCTGTTTATTATGTCACGTATGGATCACTTGACTTGCGTATACCTAGCTTAGGACCTTTGTCTGTTGCTAGTATTGGTGCTTGTGCTTCTAGTCTAGGTGCTTGTGTAGTTACTAGTGTAGCTATGACGACTGCTGACGCGTCACTCTCCTTCAGCTGGTGATTGAGAAAAAATGAGATTGTATTTGTATGCTTTCCACTAATCAGTGTAATTTTACTCTGTTTCTATCAGTGTACGAGATTTTTTACCCTAGGAGTCAGGGTTGGCCCACCCTGGAACTTTGATTTGACTGGGTGGGCCAAAACCAATTTTGGGCCTTGCATAAGACACCCCCCCTTCAAATTCAAGTGTACACCCCTAAATCGCACAAATGTACATGATTATTAAGTGTACCGGGACTCTTAAAACTCGTTCCATTTTAGGAAAGTCCCCCAGGTCTTATATCCGGGAGAATACGGTACGTAGGTCTCAGTAAGTGGCTACAGCGGAATGAGTTGAATTGGATGGAATGGGGTACATATTCCTACCTCTAACTGTTTGTACCCCCTACTGCACAACCCACTAATGGCTAGAACATTTGACAGTAGGCTCAACCTTTGGAAGAGAGGGAGAATCCACTACACCCAATGTGAGCTGGAGGCCCAAAAGCAACACCAAAGCGACACATTAGACTAAAGGGAATGAGATCACTAGAACAAGTGTACACGGTACGCAGGGTGATGTAAGGAAAAGCTATGCTGTTACTACACAACAAGTCTCTATCATGTGCGCAGATAAAATCCTCATGCTGCCTGTACATTCTCACATAAACCACCAACTACACATCGGTCACAGGTAAGCATTATCAGTCTTCATTAACGAAGCGGCCAGTACCAGGGTGAGCAGCAGCGAGCACGAGGAACATGATAGGGGCAAGCAGGGTGGGTTGCAGCTGCGTTAGAGGCACACCCGTGTGCACGTTCAGGTGCGCCAACATGCCGTGGCCTGTCAGCATCTCGCCAAGCAGTGTGGCGGCTAAACCCACCTCCGCCAACCGCGCCACGAACAGCTCGCTCGCCTTGCTCATCCCCAGCAGCGGGCCTGCACTCACGCACGCACGCATGCAAGCACCAGAGCAGAGGGACGCACAGAAGCGATATGACCCTAACGTGGGAAGAGCGAGGTGCTCGTACGGGAAAGAGGGTTGACGGCGCGTCCTACTCCCTCACAAGACCCTTCACTACGCTGTAGTTTTTTTAGATGGCTGCACTCACTTCCATTCAAATGCCTCTTTCCTCCCACCCGCCCTCTCTTCTCTCCCCTCACCCCTCTCACCTTGATCATGCAGACCCAACGCCTGTTTAATCGTGCATCGCGCTCTGCCCGGCCCTGCCGGCAACTCGTCCTCGAAGCGCCCTCGGTCGCCGAACGCGCCGACCGCAATGAGCAGCGAGAGCGCGGCGAGGGAGAGGGCGAGCGGGTCGCACTGTGCGACAGGCACGCCCGCGTGCGCGTGCATGTGGAATACCAAGCCGCGTCCCGACACGGCTTCCACTAGCAGTGCGGCCTGATGGACGGAAATCGGACGGAATCCGTTAGTGAGACGAAATGGAATCACGAGAGTTGTTGGAGGTCACGTGAACGGAGAGTGCAGTTGATAATTTTCTGATCAGGCACCGGGCCGTGCAGCGACAAAAAGAACGCGACGGATATAAGGGTTTTTGAGCGGCTTACAGCGAAGCCCATCATGGCGAAGCGCCCGAGGAAGAGCTCGTTCTGCTTCGTCAAGCCGATTCCTGTTTGTCGCTCGAGCCGCTCTCCATGGATCAACTGGCACGCAGCACGCAGGGAAGTTGTTAGATTACGACATGTCAATCTCACGGACTAACAGGGCCGCCTTTTTAAAAGGGAATGTCTTTAAAAGTCGCGAAAGCACGAGCTACCTTGGTTGGAGAGGACCGCCGCGTGAAGGCACGGTCGTGGTCGCCGCCCGACACGGCAACCACGTGCAGGCGACGCAGAGGGACATGCCTTGGCGCGGCGATTCGGAACTGAGGAGAGGCGACATTTGCTATGAGTTGAGTGGAGTGAGGCACACGAAGGTGCCTGCTTTGAGTGGGGTTGAAGCTCCGTTGGAGGGAAAGCACAGACGAGCACTTGAAGGCGGTTGCCATTACCGCAAGTCGAACTTTCACTCGAGTGAGATTGTTTGCTGCTGCTCTGTTGCGATGCGATGCGTTGATGTGTGCTTTCCGTTCCAATCTGGATTAATATCGTTGCTTCAGCAGCAACCAACCAAAGGAGGGCAGAGGGCACCGCACTGGTTGGATTCCGGAGGCACTGGCGCCGGCGAGCCAGGTGGCGGTGGCGGACGGGCAGGTAAGCTGACCCCACGTCCGCTTGGGAGTCGCGATTTCGTTGTTTGGCCACTTGGGATTTGAACGAAATCGAAAGCTGATGCGCTGGCGACACGTGAAAACACGCTGTTTCGGATTGGTGCGCAAGGAACTGATGACGTGGATGATTCTGTGCTACAATGAAGACTCCAGAGTATACACAGCAATTAAGCTAAATTTGTAGAACTTACATGTGTTATTATTAGGCTCATTGGCGTCATGAATTTACAGCACATAATTTAAGACGATGAACAAGGGGATCATCATGCTCATGTTTGAAATTTTATTTCAGAGGTTAAGTGACAGAAAATTTGCATTTATTTCTTACAAAGAAGTATAGTGGTAGCATTTTATCGTCCACTTCACCCAATAGCATCCCTAGCAAATAGCGAGGAAACTGGAGTTTCAATCCGCCCTGAAGACCCCAACCACAACAGCCCACGCCAGGTCTTACCTGAGGCTGCCACATACGCTCCAGATTCTGCCAGCCAGAACAGGCACGTCACAATCACGCATCCTAAGAATGAGAAGCAAATGACGGAGGAAAACCGCGCTGCTACTAAAGCCCACTGCTGCGGCAGGGGTCGAGCCCGAGACCCTAGCCCCGTACTTCGAATTCATTAGCTCTCGTATCGTCTTTCCTGCGGAGCCTTCACGCGCACGCGTGCGCACGGGTTGTTCAAACCGAGCCAAAACGAGCAACACCGCTCCACGAAATGCAAACACCATCCGGACGAATGCCGCGTCGCCATCGCGGACCGCCCTGGGATGCCCGCGCTTACCAACCTCACCACGCGGCGCGCTCTCCCCGCCGTCGATTCCCCGCGCCGCCAGCTCTCCTCCACGGCGCGGCACTGGCACCACTACTCGCGCTAGTTCTGCTTCCACGAACCTTCGGTGTAACGCCATCATCACGAGTCGCGACCGCGCAAGACTCATGGCCGGCCGTCGCAAGCCCCCCCACCGCACTGAGCCGCGCTCTCGAATCGCTGCGATGGGCCGTTGGCGTCTCGCCCGTGCAGTCTCCTCTGCAGTGGCTGTGGCGAAAGGCCGGAGCGCTCGTTAAGCAGCCCAGGTGAGCCGGCGGGGAGCGACGCGCGCGGCGATGATGGGCTGCGCGCAGTGGCGTGCGCGCAGTGGCGTGCGCGCAGTGGCGTGCGCGCAGTGGCGTGCGCGCAGTGGCGTGCGCGCAGCTGTAACGCTAGGGGAGCATCGCAATTGTAACGCTGGGGGAGCTGCGGGTCGGTGCAGCCGCCGCCGTTGCGCCGCCCCGGGGGCCAAGCGTGAGACGCCTCTGTGAGGCGTGATTTGTTCCGCCCGCGGTGCTGTGGCATGAGGGCACTCAGCACGCAGCATGCACCAAGCATCCTCGTCATCGCGCATGCCTTGAGTCAACACACCCACGCCACGCCGCACTCGGCCTTCGCTCTTGCTCCCTCCTCATCCCCCCTCCACCCCTCATTCAGAAGCTCGTTGCATCCCCTCCTAAGAGCCATTCCCTTTTCCCCCAGCTCCTCCCCTCCCCCAGCTCCTCCCCTCCCCCAGCTCCTCCTTTCCTCCCCGGGCTCCTCCATCCCTCCCCCATATACATCCTCTTATCAGACCTGACCCCTCTTCCCCACCGCCTCTCCCGTCCGTTCCACGCCCTGCTGTGGTGAGCAGCAGGCAGGCGGAGCAGCGGGGATGTGAGGCGGAGCTGGCGGGGCTGCGGCAGTGGTACCACCGCGTGCATGGCGCAGGCAGGTGACTCGCACGTGTGCGTGCATGGCGCAGGCAGGTGACTCGCACGTGTGCGTGCATGCACACCATCTTTTGAGTCGACTCAAAAGACATTCCGTTGCCGTCCATTGCATGAGCGAGCGCCTGTGCAATGCGTGTGATGCACCTGGTGGGGCTGCGGCAGTGGTACCACCGCGTGCATGGCGCAGGCAGGTGACTCGCACGTGCACGCATTCTGTTGCCATCCCATTGCATGAGCGCCTGTGCAATGCGTGTGATGCACCTGGTGGGGCTGCGGCAGTGGTACCACCGCGTGCATGGCGCAGGCAGGTGACTCGCACGTGCACGCATTCTGTTGCCATCCCATTGCATGAGCGCCTGTGCAATGCGTGTGATGCACACCTGGCGTGAAGGTTTTCTATGAGTTAACACCCCCACCCCTCTTGCAATGCGTCATGCGGTCATGTTCTATGAGCCAGGACCAGCCAATTCTATGGTGGTGCCAGTTTTTAGGTGGTTCGTGGTGCCAACCTCGGAATCAGCCAGTTCTTTTGTGGTGCCCTACGCACCTTCTTGACCTGCTTTGAGTCATAATGTGTTCTCCTCGCACGCTCTCCCCCACCCCTCTTCTTCTCCTCCCTCGCTTTCCCCCACCCCTCTTCTTCTCCTCCCTCGCTTCCCTCCACCCCTCTTCTTCTCCTCCCTCGCTCTCCCCACGCACTGCCAAGGACAGTGGCTGAAGTAAACAGCGGAGCAGGCACAAAAGGTAGCATGCAGACTGCTGAGTTGTTAGCACGGACAGCAGAGGGCACGAGGGAGGCAGTGAGCAAAAGCGAAGAGCGGGCGGAGGGGAGGGAGGAGGATCGGAGAGGGGAAACAGAGCGGAGAGGGGAAGTGGAGCGGAGAGGGGAAGTGGAGCGGAGAGGGGTGGGGGGCGAGCGCAGGAGGCTGATGGCGTACGAGTCGTGGCGGCACAAGCTCAAGGACCAGATGGCCCGCCTGCACTCCATGCAAGCCAGTGTGGACGAGAAGCGGGTGAGTGCAGTACAGGGGGCAATGTGGCAGGTGGAAGTGGGATGGAGTGAGGGTGGGATGAGGAGGGGTATGGGAGCGGTTTGCAGTGCAGTCTGAGTTGGTGTGGATGTGGGGCAGGTGTTGTTGCGGGGGCGGATAGGGTGGATGTGGAGCGGTTTGCAGTCTGCAGCAACTGTGGCACGTCAGGAAGGGAGTCTCTGTTCAGCAGCTTCTGTTGTGGATGAAGGGAGAGTGAAGTGAAGTGATGGTCATGCGAGTGTGGTTCCTTGTTGTCATGCCATTCCCTGTTTTTCATGTGCTGAATGTTCCGCGTCTACCATGTTCGCTTTTGAGAATTCTCAAACGCGTCTACCATGTTTCCCGTCGAGGCAGCTGTTCCAGTGCATGAAAAGAACAAGATTCGCTTATCATTGAGCCGTGTTTTGAGTCAACTCAAGACACGACTGTTTCCTGTTGAGGCAGCTGTTCCACTGCATGAAAGAGAGTCAAAGAGAAGAACAAGATCCGCTTACCATTCAGCCTTTTTTCACTAGTGCTACATCTTTCTCCTGTGACACTCCTTCCACAGCTTCACTTTGCACGTTTCAATCGGAAGAACAAGCAGGTCCATTCACCTGTCAGTCGCTTCCTGTCAAGATGTATGACGAGCCGGGCGTGCCTTCACCGTTCTCTCTCCTCTCTGCTTGCGCACTTGCATTGCATGTGACGCTTGCTTGACTTGATTGCACGTAGAACGGCAGGAGGAGCTGCGGAGGGTGTGAACAGTGAGAAGATGCAGAACGTGCCGTGCCGTCGTCACTGTTCTCTGTCCTCTCTCCTCTCTCTCTGCGTGCATGATTGCATGTGGTGTGGCAGAAGGAGCTGCGGAGGGTGAACAGTGAGAAGATGCAGTTGGACAAGCGCATAGACGAGAGCGACATCGACTGGGAGGCCCGCCTGCTGCCCAAATCCGTGAGTGCCCTGTTGATTGACGCTGCCAGGGGTGGGAAGTGGGTAGGGTGCGTGCTGCTGCCCAAATCCGTGAGTGCTCTGGTGACGCTGCCAGGGGTGGGAGGTAGGCAGGGTGCGATCGAGTGTGCGCGTGGGGGTAGAAGATACGAGTTAGGAGCGAGAGTGGGAGCGATACTGGGAGTGCGAGCAACCAAGAGTGAGAGTGAGAAAGCGGGTGGGAGGGGCAAGGCGTGCAAAGTAGGGATGACCATAACAGGCCATATAAAGCACGAGATTTTCTGCACAGCAGGTGGCAGGTGGGCGGCTACTTGCTGTGTATTGAGCTCAGGCAGACGAACGAATCTATGGGGAGACTGGGGACGAGAGGCGGCAGTTGAACACACAGGTCAACTCAGAAGGGACATGCACTGTGATGGGCGTGCACTGTCACGGGTGTGCACGGCACCTCAACTACCATTGACGGGAACGTTCCGCCTTTTGGCACGGACTTCAGAATAAACGAAGTGGAGGCGGACGAGAGGGCTGGGTTGGAGAGTGGCTGGTCATGACTTTTGAGGATTTTCAGAAGCCAGTCCAGTTTGGGGTGGAGAGTAATAGGTCCTGTTGGCACATCTCTGCTGTAAGGACAAGAGCCCGGAGTGTAGATGAGGTGATGTCACCTGAGGAGAAGAGAAGAAATTGATTGCCTCAAGGCTGTCACCTTCTTGTGGGGGGGTTGTGTGCGTGTGGGCTGTGCCCTGTGTCCCCCTCCTTGTGCCCCCTGTGCCCCCCTGTGCCCCACTGTGCCCAACTGTGCCCCCCTGTGCCCCACTGTGCCCCCCTGTGCCCCACTGTGCCCCCCTGTGCCCCACTGTGCCCCCCTGTGCCCCACTGTGCCCCCCTGTGCTTGCTGTGTGTGGCGTGTGTATGTTGTGTGTGCGGTGCAGGTGATGGACAAGGCGCGTGAGGTGGTGGCGCCTAAAGAAATCTCCTCTTACTGCCTGTGTGCGCCGTGTGTATGTTGTGTTGTGCGTGCGCGGTGCAGGTGATGGACAAGGCGCGTGAGGTGGTGGCGCCTAAAGAAATCTCCTCTTACTGCCTGTGTGTGGCGTGTGTATGTTGTGTTGTGCGTGCGCGGTGCAGGTGATGGACAAGGCGCGTGAGGTGGTGGCGCCTAAAGAAATCTCCTCTTACTGCCTGTGTGTGGCGTGTGTATGTTGTGTTGTGTGTGTGCGGTGCAGGTGATGGACAAGGCGCGTGAGGTGGTGGCGCCTAAAGAAATCTCCTCTTACTGCCTGTGTGTGGCGTGTGTATGTTGTGTTGTGTGTGTGCGGTGCAGGTGATGGACTAGGCGCGTGAGGTGGTGGCGCCTAAAGAAATCTCCTCTTACTGCCTGTGTGTGGCGTGTGTATGTTGTGTTGTGTGTGTGCGGTGCAGGTGATGGACAAGGCGCGTGAGGTGGTGGCGCCTAAAGAAATCTCCTCTTACTGCCTGTGTGTGGCGTGTGTATGTTGTGTTGTGCGTGCGCGGTGCAGGTGATGGACAAGGCGCGTGAGGTGGTGGCGCCTAAAGAAATCTCCTCTTACTGCCTGTGTGTGGCGTGTGTATGTTGTGTTGTGTGTGTGCGGTGCAGGTGATGGACAAGGCGCGTGAGGTGGTGGCGCCTAAAGAAATCTCCTCTTACTGCCTGTGTGTGGCGTGTGTATGTTGTGTTGTGTGTGTGCGGTGCAGGTGATGGACAAGGCGCGTGAGGTGGTGGCGCCTAAAGAAATCTCCTCTTACTGCCTGTGTGTGGCGTGTGTATGTTGTGTGTGCGGTGCAGGTGATGGACAAGGCGCGTGAGGTGGTGGCGCCTAAAGAAATCTCCTCTTACTGCCTGTGTGTGGCGTGTGTATGTTGTGTTGTGTGTGTGCGGTGCAGGTGATGGACAAGGCGCGTGAGGTGGTGGCGCCTAAAGAAATCTCCTCTTACTGCCTGTGTGCGCCGTGTGTATGTTGTGTTGTGCGTGCGCGGTGCAGGTGATGGACAAGGCGCGTGAGGTGGTGGCGCCTAAAGAAATCTCCTCTTACTGCCTGTGTGTGGCGTGTGTATGTTGTGTTGTGTGTGTGCGGTGCAGGTGATGGACAAGGCGCGTGAGGTGGTGGCGCCTAAAGAAATCTCCTCTTACTGCCTGTGTGCGCCGTGTGTATGTTGTGTTGTGCGTGCGCGGTGCAGGTGATGGACAAGGCGCGTGAGGTGGTGGCGCCTAAAGAAATCTCCTCTTACTGCCTGTGTGTGGCTGTGTATGTTGTGTTGTGTGTGTGCGGTGCAGGTGATGGACAAGGCGCGTGAGGTGGTGGCGCCTAAAGAAATCTCCTCTTACTGCCTGTGTGTGGCGTGTGTCTGTTGTGTTGTGTGTGCGCGGTGCAGGTGATGGACAAGGCGCGTGAGGTGGTGGCACCTAAAGAAATCTCCTGGACAAGGCGCGTGAGGTGGTGGCGCCTAAAGAAATCTCCTCTTACTGCCTGTGTGCGCCGTGTGTATGTTGTGTTGTGTGTGTGCGGTGCAGGTGATGGACAAGGCGCGTGAGGTGGTGGCGCCTAAAGAAATCTCCTCTTACTGCCTGTGTGTGGCGTGTGTATGTTGTGTTGTGTGTGTGCGGTGCAGGTGATGGACAAGGCGCGTGAGGTGGTGGCGCCTAAAGAAATCTCCTCTTACTGCCTGTGTGTGGCGTGTGTATGTTGTGTTGTGTGTGTGCGGTGCAGGTGATGGACTAGGCGCGTGAGGTGGTGGCGCCTAAAGAAATCTCCTCTTACTGCCTGTGTGTGGCGTGTGTATGTTGTGTTGTGTGTGTGCGGTGCAGGTGATGGACAAGGCGCGTGAGGTGGTGGCGCCTAAAGAAATCTCCTCTTACTGCCTGTGTGTGGCGTGTGTATGTTGTGTTGTGTGTGTGCGGTGCAGGTGATGGACAAGGCGCGTGAGGTGGTGGCGCCTAAAGAAATCTCCTCTTACTGCCTGTGTGTGGCGTGTGTATGTTGTGTTGTGTGTGTGCGGTGCAGGTGATGGACAAGGCGCGTGAGGTGGTGGCGCCTAAGGAAATCTCCTCTTACTGCCTGTGTGTGGCGTGTGTATGTTGTGTTGTGTGTGTGCGGTGCAGGTGATGGACAAGGCGCGTGAGGTGGTGGCGCCTAAAGAAATCTCCTCTTACTGCCTGTGTGTGGCGTGTGTATGTTGTGTTGTGTGTGTGCGGTGCAGGTGATGGACAAGGCGCGTGAGGTGGTGGCGTCGTGTCATGGCGATGGCATGGTGGTGTCCTCGCCCGTGCCCACATGGAAGGTGCGATTCCCTCTGGGATCTCATTCATTGCAATGACATGGTTGGTTTCACACTCGCATGGCGATGGCATGGTGGTGTCCTCGCCCGTGCCCACATGGAATGGAAGGTGAGACACCCTCTGGGATCTGATTATATGACATGGTTGGTTTCTTGAGACGTCTCAAAACACTACTTTTATCACGTCGCCCATGCCCACGTGGAAAATGCGCTACCCTCTGGGGTCTACTATTGGGCCCATCGTTTGCTACTATGGCATGGTTGGTTTCACGCTCGCATAGCGATGGCATGGTGGTGTCCTCGCCCGTGCCCACATGGAAGGTGCGCAACTGCTATCCCATGCCTGCTGTCACACACACTCTCATTGCATTGTGACACACCGCCCCCCGCAACCCCCCACCTCTCGTTCCACCTTGTGTGTGTTTGAAGTCGACTCAAACACCATCCAATGCTCGTCGTTCACCCGTTCTCCACCATCCTGGCTCCCCCCATCGTTGGTCCCCACATCCTCCTCAACCACCTCCCCATGCGTCGTCTGCTCGCTCCCGCACGCACTCTCTGTCGCCTGCGTGGGCCCTCCCCCTCCCCCTGCCACACTCCCCCCCACCTTCCTATGCATGTGACACCACGGAGGGCGATCGGCTGTGCTCTTGGCGCTCCCTTCCCATCTCCTTCCACCCATTCCCACCCCCCTCCCTCACGCCTGCCCGTATCCAACTTTCTCCCCACAGGCGTATGCATGTGACGCCACGGAGAACGAGCTGCTGCACCCTCTGGTCGATGTGCAACGGCGCTCCCAATTCCCTTTCCCTGACACTCATCTTCCTCCCTGACATGGCCATGTGTGCACTCGCAATCCCCCATTCACCCCCCGTTCCCCCTGCCATCTCCCTCTCCATCTGATCATCTGCGCAGGCGTATGCAATGCATGCGATGCCACAGAGGGCGAGCTGCTGTGCTACCTGGACTGGTCTACGAGCGGCAGCGTTCCCGGCTTTCACTCCCCATCTCCTTCCACTCGCTCATTCGCACTCCCCACTCTCCATGTCTCCCCCCCCCAATTGCTTCCTGGCAGGCGTATGCATGTGACACGACAGAGGACGAACTGCTGCTGCGGAGCCCCAGCGCATGTGTCTCATCTCCCAACACTCGTTTCCACTCCCAGCCCTTCTCACCTGCGCCCTCTCTACCTTCTCACAGCCCTGCCCTGGCGCCCCATTCCCTTGTACCAACACGCATTCCCCCTACGCTCCCTCGCCCTTGGGGTGGTTCCCTGGCAGGCGTATGCATGCGACGCCACAGAGAATGAGCTCTTGCGCTATCTGGATTACGAGCCCCGCCACATGTGTCCCATCTTCGCACACTCATTCCCATCCCCCTCCTCTGCACCCACCACCCTCGTCTACACCCTCCTTGTTCGCTGCTCCCCACAGGCATATGCATGCGACGCCACAGAGGACGAGCTGCTGCGCTCCCGGGGCTCTGTTCCCATCTTCCCTCCCTCCTCGCCTGCCTTCCCCCCAATTGTTTCCCACAGGCATATGCATGCGACGCCACGGAGGACGAGCTATTGAGCTACCTGGACTACGAGCCCCGCCGCATGTGTCCGGACGACTGGTTTGACTCGCAGGACCTGCTCTTCACAAAGAACTGCTTTGCTCTCCCCGTGAGGCGCTGCCTCACCCGCACGCCGCAGAAACTTGTGGAGGTGAGGGAAGGGGGATTGGGTAGCGGGGAATAAGGAGGGGGGGGGGGAGGGGGGTGGTGGGGGGGTTGGAGGGGATTGGAGGGGGGAGGGAGGACTTGAGGGAGATGGGACGGATGGTGGGAAGGAGGGAGGGGCGGCGCATGTGTCCGGACGACTGGTTTGACTCGCAGGACCTGCTCTTCTCAAAGAACTGCTTCGCCCTGCCCGTGCGCCGCTGCCTCACCCGCACGCCGCAGAAACTTGTGGAGGTGAGGGAAGGGGGATTGGGGAGCCCACCCCACTGGCTACCAACACCACCCCCTAACAATCAACCCTTTCAACAGACCCCATTTGCAGTCTCCCCAATCCCTCCCTCTCGCAACCTACACCTCCCCTTCTCTCCACCCACCACCTCCCCCTCCTCGCAGCCCATGCCATTCCCGGACTCTCTCTTCAGCCAGAGTGCTCTCAAGGACGGTGCAGTGCGGTGGGCGCTGCACCACTGCAAGTCCTTCGCCTGCCTGAACGCGCGCCTCATCGGGGACTGTCGCCTGTGCTTCAACATGAGCATTGAGCGCAACCGCTGGCACCGCCACTTCCGAGGATCGCTGTCAATTGAGGAGGTGGTGAATATGATGAAGGGGTCGCTCAGGTGGGTGGGCATTAGCTGCGCTGTTGTCTTCCTCTTCTGTGTTCCCTGCACCATCGCAAGTCCTTTTGCGGATCTCTGTCAATCGAGGAGGTGGTGGGCATGGTGAAGGGGTCGCTCAGGTGGGTGTGTGGGCTGTGCTGCTGTGTTCCTCTTCCCCAGCCAAGAACCTGGAGAGACCAGCACGGGACGGCGACCATGGGGGCCTTGCAGGCCACCCTGTCCCAAACGACCGCAGGGTGGCCACCATCGTAGCCACCCTGTCAACGGCAACCATGGGGCGTGCCTTTATCCACCATTCCTGTTTCCATCTCCCTTCGCCCTCCCGCACGCACGCCCACAGGATCGGGCTGGACGCGGGGGGCGGCACGGGCAGCTTTGCAGCGCACATGGCGCGGTACAACGTGACAGTGCTGACCACGGCCATGAACATTGAGACCGTCACGGGGCGCCGCCAGGGCCTGCCGTACATGGAGACCATTGCTCTGCGTGGCCTCATTCCCCTGCACGTGCCGCACAAGGTGAGGCGTATTGTGTGTGTGGGGTGGCGAGTGCAGGGCGCCGCCAGGGCCTGCCGTACATGGAGACCATTGCCCTCAGAGGCCTCATTCCGCTGCACGTGCCGCACAAGGTGAGGCGCAGGGAAGCGGATATGGGGGGTGGGGGCCATGGGTTGGGTGTGGGGTGTCGGGTGTAAGGTGTAGGGTGTGGGCAGTGGTACATAGAGACCATCGCCCTGCGTGGCCTCATCCCCCTGCACGTGCCGCACAAGGTGAGTGTGGCAGTGTGGAGTGTGGGCTGTGGGGGGGGTGGGGTGTTGTGAACTGTGGGGTGTAGGGTGTCTGTGTAGGGAGTGGAGTGCTGGGCAATTAGGTGGGGCGTGGGGTATAAGGTTGTAGTGGCAGACATTGTGTGGGTGGAGTGTGTGGGTGGAGTGTGTGGGTGGCAAGTGTGGGATGCAGGTTCCTTTTGTCTGGTGGTAGATTCTTCTTGGTCTGTTGCCACAATGGTTGGATTGGAAGCCAGTTTCGTGGTTCCAACATTGCCGTCCCTGCCTCATCACACTCCCTCCTCCCCATTTCCAATGCGCTTTTGCGTCTCCTCCACTCGCTTTCCCTCCTCCGTTTCTCTCTCCGCCCATCATCTCTCCCCCATCTTCCCTCCTTCCCCCTTCACCCTCCCGTCCTCTCTCGCCCCTGACCGACTTTCCTCGCAGCAACGGCTACCCCTGATGGACAACACATTGGACCTAGTGCACTGTGTGAACAGCATCAAGTACCTGCCCATGCAGGAAATTTGAGTCGACTCAAAAGCTCCCTCTCCCCGCATCCTCTCCCGCTCCCTCTCCCCCTCCCTCTCCCCGCTCCCTCTCCCCCTTCCTCTCCCCTGGCTGCAGCAACGGCTACCCCTGATGGACAACACATTGGACCTGGTGCACTGTGTGAACAGCATCAAGTACCTGCCCATGCAGGAGTTTGAGGAGCTGCTATTCGACTGGGACCGCGTGCTCAGAGTTGGTGCGTGCACCCCTGCTCCAATTGCTGCTTCTCCTGCTTCCTCTCATGCCACTACTGCCAGCCACTCACCCAGGGGTCGCTGAATTGAGCTTGCTGCACTTGCATCCCTTTCGCTGGCCTGTCTCCTACCACCTTATGTCTCACTCTCACCCGCCATCTGCTCTTGTACGTGCTCCTTGCCATACACCTGCCTACCTGTCATCTCGTTATACCACCTGCCATGGTCCCCGCCTCTTTGCATGCTAGGCATGAGCAACGGCTGGCCCAGGCAGCCAGTGAAGTGCGGGGAGAGAGCACAGCTGGCCCCTGGTCCAGGGGGATGGAGAGGCAGGTCCGGGTCAGACTTCACAGCAGCCCGGCCTTGGCTTCAAAGCAGCCTGGCCTCGACCTCTCCGCCTGTTCAAACAAACGGAGAGGGCTTCACAGCAGCCCGGCCTCCGCTTGTCCAAACAAGCATGACGGGTTGAGGCCGGCTAGTGGTGGTGCCAGTCGCGCTGGCGCTGGTGCGGCACGACCGACTTTCATTGCCCTGCTGCATAGTCGCCTGCTAGACCCGCACACATGTGCCAGCAAGTGAGCATCTGTCTCCGACAGATCGAACGAAAAATCATGGCTTGCTTGTCAGTCACGGGATCGCCCCAGGCCTGTGCTGGTCCGAACCGGGCGGGGTTTTGTCAAGGTCAGCCTGTCCTCGGGACCGGCTGCCCCAGAATGGCCCTGTGCCTCATGCTTACTGTGGCGCCACCCTGTCCCTCCCATCCCTCTGCACCCTCCCATCCCTCTACACCCATGCCCATCCCCATGCCACCCCCAGGGCGGGTGCTGTGGTTTGAGATGTTCTTCCTCTCCCTCCCCTTGCTCCTCATCTCACTCACTCTTCCAGACCACTTTTCCCTCCACTCCCCCTGCACCCAATCCCATGCCCCCCACCAGGCGGGGTGCTATGGTTTGAGATGTTCTACGCACCTTTAGACGAGATGCCAGTATACGTCGCTCTGATCAGTGCGCTGGGCTACAAGCGCCTCTACTTCCACGTGCTGCCCAAGCCAGACGTGGGGGAACACCTCGGCGCACACATGTACCTCAACTGCCTGCTTGAGAAGCCCGTGCGCCTCGACCCTCCGAAGAGGACGGGCTGGCTGTTCTAGTTCTAGAGCCTCGGCTTTTTTTTTTATGAGGTGCCATGTCTAGGTTGAATGAAGCGCTCATTGTTGGCAGGACACCTCGGCGCGCACATGTACCTCAACTGCCTGCTTGAGAAGCCCGTGCGCCTCGACCCTCCAAAGAGGGCGGGCTGGCTGTTCTAGAGCATCGGCTGTTCTCTAGTGTGGTTTTTTTCTTCTAGGTTGAAGCGCTCATTGTTGGCAGGGCAGGGCAGCTTGTTGTGCGGGTGTAGCTTTGCTGCCTGCTGCAAAAAAAAACCCTCCCTTGTGCATTCCCAATCGAGACAGTTATTCGCCTGTTTGTTGTTTGACTGGAACGCCAAATACTGCGTAAGGGGCGTGTTCCTACAGCCTCTTGTCAGTCTCACGTCACAGCACACTGAAATTCATGCAGACCTTAAACCCTTGACTCATTGATTGAGGCCAGTCTGATGAGAGGGCTTAGGAACACATACATGTGCTGCCCAACTCTATTTTCAAGAAAATGCACACTAGAGGGCATTGTCATATGTGCATACTACTATTGATCCCCAGTGGAAATGGGATATCATGAAATGAGTCAGGAAAATTGCCTACTTCACTGAATAGCAGAGAGAGTCAGAATATATATCTATATAAACAGACGTTTATTTAAAAAATATCATTTCCAACTTATCCTACCAGGTGTGAGTATTGACGTTTTAGGGCGTGGAACACTGAAAGCTCCGCCAACATTTTGGAAGGTCAACGGTCAGCACCGTACTAAAACCTTCTGCAACACAATATCGTCCGGACCTCTCCAGCCTCCCTTTCGAATTCGAGTTACGGCGTGTTGCAATTCGCGGTGCACTGCATCGGCTCGGCTCGTGGCACGGGTCTAGGAAGGCTCCAGGAAATTAAAAGGTCGTAAAAATTTACCGGACACGTGTATAATCTTGATAATCATTCTTGTAAAAACTTCATAACCTTGTAAAATAACTCTTGTCATCATTCCTTGATATTTTTTCTTTGCCCGATTCGTTGCCCGAATTTGGCCCCCGCCTGCTTGGAGCCTTCCTTTCGTCCCGTGCCGATGCAGTGCATCGCAAACTGCAACACCCCGTTACTTTCAAATGTTCCACACCCTAGATCAGGCTAGATTGAAAATACACTCAGCGACAAAGAACGGGGTTTTCTCCCAAATCAGGCCAGGTGGCGAGTTTTGAAATGGCAGGGTGGCCGACAACTACAGTACAGTGGCATGAATCTGAAACGGGCACATCGTGGAGGTGGGTGGGGTCCGAACAAAATATTTTAGGGGGCGTCATACAGATGTTTCGGCTTATAGTCCGACGGGTTGAGCCGAAGCGCGTGGACTGTATGCCGAAATTTTCAAACCCCAGGCAAAACGCGATATTTATAGTCCCGTTCAGACAATTTACATGAATAGTGGTTTGTTTGCTAAAATGTTTGGTTTTTGGTCTTTTTCTTAAATTTGGACCGCGCTGGCTTCAACTTCTTGTCACACGCTTCCACGCGCTGATCAATTTCGCATGACCAACGGGAAAAAAAAAACAAAATAAACTATGGTTTGGGGGTCGATTAGAAGGTAAAAACTTCTGTTTTACCCTGTAAACGAGATAAACGTGATGTCATCGTCGAGCGCGCTGGAGACCGCGCAACAGGATTGAGAAGTGATCACGGTCAAGAAAAACAATTACTTAGAATTTGGAGGTTAAATGTCGAATCGATGATCCCTTATCTATAATTTTCTCCGGATGTTGGGATGGTTCAATTTGGAGCCTCTGATTGGCTGCGGAGCTGATTCGTGCAATGATTCGGTCAAGCCTCAAAATTTCCCACCAAAGATGGGACTATAGGGGTCGGGACAACCCTAGGCAATATCGGAAAATTCTACTCAAGATGGAAAATGGACTCATCTAGCAATGGCCTTTAACCCGGAACACTTGTACCAGCCTGCGTGCCGACAATTGTTCCCGCTCCTGCAAATTTGGTGGGTCCGGAGCTGTTGTGCGTTCATTCACCCATTTTGTTCGGTGTTTGCTTTCTGCCGTAACCGAGTTTGATACTTCGAAACCCAACTAAACCGCATGGTAAGAGAAAGCAACCTAGGCTGGTGGTGGGCACGTTCGTCCACAGAGCTTCAATCTGCTGAGCTGTGTTCTGCTCTGCTCCCCTCCATCCACCTCTCGTCGTCACACGGGGCTAGTAGAAACGGAAATAGGGAAGCTACTGGAGAATCTTCCGCATACAGCTGGCCCGTCCCACCACCCACACACGCCTTACCTCGACAGCGGATCCGAATAACGGGACAGCAATATTTTTTTTCGCCGCCGACGGGATGCTGCCCATTCAAAAAAGCGTCGCTAGAATTTCCGCGATGCATGGCACGCACGTGACACATGTGTCGCGACTCGCACAACTCGTGACCACCACAGATAAACGGCCTTCTGCCAACACGGCCAAGCAAACGCCACTCTCTTATTATCTCTCCTTAGACTCCCCGCAAAAGACTCTTCGATTGCGAGTACCTCCCGTTACCGCAAAGCGCCGCTCCGCCCCGCCCATCGTCTCTCCACCCGCGAACCTCCGCTCCGCCGCATCCTGCGCGCGCATTTCCTCCCGCCGCCACTCTCGCGCAGCCGTCTTTCCGTTGCCGACGGCCCCGAAATCTTTCGCCTCTCGCTGGTAACCATGCCGCCCCCGACTCCCCACCGCCGCACTCCGCGCACCGCCGCCCGCCGTACCTCCGTCGTGGGTGCCTGCGCGCGCCCCAAGCCGCCTGCTATCGCCGTCACGCGCACGCGCGCGCTCCTCGTCGCGCTCGTCGCGGCGGCAGCCATCGCGGGGCGCCTCGCGACACCAACGGCGGCGGCTCCGGCGGCGTCGTGGGGTCCCGCGTGCGTGAACGGGTTCCCGAAGCGCGCGCTGTGCCGCTTTGTGGATGACTTGGCGGCGTCCCCGCTGGTGGAGGTGGACGGCGCGACGGGCAGCGCCGTCACCATCGGGGTCTTCCAGAAACGCATCGTGAGTGTAACGCCTGCCGCGGGCCTATACGAAGGGTTAGTAAAGGCCAACCGCTGCGCCTCTGAATGATATCCCCGCCTCTGAATGATATCCCCGCCTCTGAATGATATCCCCGCCTCTGAATGATATCCCCGCCTCTGAATAACCCCCGTTTCGCCCTGTGGTCCTGGGCTTGAGTCGCTATACCGAGCACCTGCCTTGCGAGTCCCCCGCCCACGTCGCTTCGCTGCGCTCGTCCCTGCGCTGCCCTTAGCAGTAAGTGTCTATCCCTTTCACGCCCTGCGCCACGGTGCGGCGTACCCACCCAGCCTGGTTACACCACGTCCCACTTGATGGATGCGATACATAAACGTAGGCTGCTCCTTTCTCCCCTCTCCAATCCCCCCCTGTCTCCCTTTCTTGCCCCTCACCCGTCCCTTCTTTCTCACTCCCCCGGGGTCCCCTCCCCCGTCCGTGCCGGCGTGCAGAAGTTTCTCCTCGACCAAGCAGTGGTCACCTGCCAGCGACGAAGCAGTGGTCCCCCCTCCCCCCGTGTCTCCCGTTCTTGCCCGTCACCCGTCCCTTCTTACACCCCCGCTCCCTTTTTTCTTCCGGTTATGGCGTGCAGAAATTTCACCGTGACCTGCCAGCGACGAAGCAGTATGTGTTCGGCGTGGACAGGGAGAGCGCTAGCTACCCCGGCCCTCTCATTGTGGCGCTCCGACACACGCCCACCACGGTAGGCCCCGCACACACGCCCACCACGGTAGGCCCCGCACACACGCCCACCACGGTAGGCGCGCGCACACGCCCGCCACGGTAGGCACACACACGCCCCACAACCTGCACTCATGGCACCATGCCGCGTACATCACACAACACAATCCTGTTGTGTGCGCTAAAACGAGCACCTTCCATTCCATCTCTTAACCCTAGTGCCCCCCCACTCATCCGTCTCCCCCCCTCTCCCCCCGACTCCCCTGCTTCCGTCCCTCCCCCCTGCCGCCCGTGCACTCATGATGATACCACACATGACGGTGGTGGCAGGTGACGTGGGAGAACCATGTGAGCGACCAGCAGCACATGCTGGGGGTGGACTACTCGCTCTCCCATGTCGCCCGCCCCGCCCAAGGCGGCATCCCCATCTGTGCGCGCCGCTTGCCCCACCGCCTGCCTGCTCCCTCTCTTCTACTCTCCCCTCTCTCCCCTCTCTTCCCACTCTCCTGCCGACCGTCCTCTTTCCCCCTCTCCCCCCCTTCCCTTTCCCCCTCTCCCCACTTTCCCCCTCCCCCCTTTCCCCCCCTCCCCCCTTTCCCCCTCCCCCCTTTCCCCCTCTCACACGCACGCTGTCCTTTGTTGTCCGTTCAATGTTGTATTCTCCCGCTCTCCACGTATTTGCATGTCGCACGTCTGCAGATGCCTCGCTTTCCCCTGCTATTGTACCCAACTTTCTGCGGTTGTATCACCTCAATGTTTAGTGTGTTTTGTGGATAATTAAGACGCACTCCTAATCCTTTGTCCTTTTCCTTCTTTCCATCTTTCCTTCTACCCCATTTAAATGTCTCCCCCATCTCCCCATCTTCCCTTTAGCCCTCCATCCCCCCTTTCCTCCCCCTTCTCCCCCGTCTCTCCCCTCCTTCCCTCCTTCCCTCCTTCCCTCCTTCCCTCCTTCCTTTCCCCCTCCCAGCCCCCCACCTGCACGGCTCTGAATCCCCAAGCCACTCCGACGGCCACCCGCACGCGTGGTTCTCGCAGCACGGCGACACCGGCACCGCCTTCTCCTCCGCCACCTCTACCTACCCCAACTCCCAACCCCCCGCCCTGCTCTGGTTCCACGACCATGCCATGGGGTACACGCGCCTCAACACCGCTGCTGGCATGGCCGGGCTGTACCTTATCAGAGACCCGACAGGCGTGGAGCAGGCGATGAGTGGGTGGCTGCCGCAAGGGGAGTTTGACGTGCCACTGGTGCTTGCGGATCGCCGGTTCAGGAAGGACGGGAGTGTGGTGTATGGTGGTGGCGGGGGGGAGGGGGCATGGGGATGAACATGCAGATGGAGAGCTTTGGCAATGTGAACGTGGTCAATGGCAAGGTGAGAGGGGGGGAGGAGGGGTTTGGGTAGGTGAGGGGAAAGTTGGTTTCACATGGGTGGTGGTGATGGGGGGAGAGAGCCCGGGTGGGGTGGGGTTGGGGAAGGGGAGCATTCAAACGTCAATTATCCTCACTGCCCTTGCTACTAACCCAGCCTTTCTGTGCGCCTTGCAATCTCTCTTGCCCCACTTCCCATCACCCTCCCTTCCGAGTCCCGACCCCCCTCCGCATCTTGCCCCACCTCGCTCTCATCACCGTCTCGTTTTCATCTTGCCCCACCTCGACACCTCCACCAACTCCCTCTGTTCCCCCTGTGTGGCGCTGTGGTTGGGTGGCAGGTGTGGCCGTACATGACAGTGAAGCCCCGCGGCACCTCCTGCGCCTTTTGAGGCGTCTTACAGGCCTCCCCACACCCACATCACATCACACCACACCACCTCCCCCAACTCCGCCACCCACCCTGTGTGTTGCGGTGGCAGGTGTGGGCCGTACATACATGGCAGTGAAGCCTCGCCTGTACCGCCTGCACCTTTTGAGGTGCCTCTAAAGCGTTCCCACTTCACACCACCTCCCCCAACTCTCCCACCCCTTGTGGCTGGTGCTCTGGCAGGTGTGGCCGTACATGGCAGTGAAGCCTCGCCTCTACCGCCTGCGCCTGCTGGGGGCGGCCAACTCACGTGTGTACCGCCTGCGCTTCCAGTGCGCCGCTCAGAAGGACTACCCGCACCTCGTGCCGCCCCTGGACGGCCCCACTCTCTCCGTTCTGCAGGTGCGCGATTCTCACTGTGCATGCACTAGAGACCGCTGGGCTTATGGGGGTTGCTTATGAGGGAGGAAGGGAAGGGTGCTTGGTGCCCGCGCAGCCATTTAGGAGCGTCTGAGGACCTGAGGTGATTCTTGCGCCAGTCGCAGGGATCAAATCTCTGATTGTCTCTGTCATTCCCCCGCATGTGCCCTCCCACCCCATGCCCCCTTGTGCCTCTCCCAGTAGCCCTCCACTCTCCATTGTTCATATGCCATTTAAGATGCCTCTTTTTCCAGAAAGCCTCACCCATGAGCTGCATTTCTGAGTCCATTTCAGGAAGCTCAATATGTATGCCCACTTTCTCCCCAGTCAAATCTCCATACACGTTCTTGTGCCTCCTTTCTGTCTCCTCTTTAGGAACCAAATAGAATCACTGGGCCCCCACACACCACCACTCTGACTGCTGCACACACACACACACACACACACACACACACACGCACACACACACACACGCACGCACGCACGCACGCACGCACCCACACACACACACATAACCCCCACTCCCCCTTCACTCATCCTCTCAAACCACATACTCCCTCCCTCTCCACCCCTCAACCCTACCCGCTGCTCCTCTACCCTTTACCCAACATTCCCCCTCCCTTCCTCCTCCTCAACTCCCCCCCAACCACCACCAGATCGCCTCAGACGGAGGGTACTTAGCAGCACCTGTGCGCCGCTCCTCAATACTCCTCGCCCCCGGAGAACGAGTCGACATTCTTCTCGACCTCTCCTCCCTCCCCTCCTCCTCCTGCCGCCACATCCTCCTCCTCAACACCGCGCCCGCGCCCTTCCCCGCGGGCGCAGGCAGCATGGGCAGCATGATGGGCGGGCCCATGGGGCGGGTGGCTCGAGGCATGGGCAAGGTGCTGGGCGGGACAGGGAGGGCAGTGGGGAAGGCAGTGAGGAAGGTGACGGGGCGGAAGAAGGTGGTGACGGCCAAGCAGGGCGTGGGGACGGTGATGATGTTTAAGGTGGTGCAGGAAGCTGCTGTGGCACCGCCCGCTGTGCCGACCACTCTGCAGGTGGGGTGGGACTCGTGGACCTAGTCTGGACTCTTGGACCTGGCAGGACTCGTAGAGATGGGTTTTGGGACGTGTCAAAACGGGATTGAGGGGTTGTCTCACAGGGCTGCACTGCACTCAACTTACCATGTTCCATGGCTTGCCCCTGATTCGCTCTCATTCACCAGCATTCACATTCATTCGCCTATGTGCTCCAATTTTCCCCAATGCAATGCTTCCGCTCCCTCTCCCTCGCTGCCTTCCTTCTCAACTTCCCCATCTTCCCGGCCCACCTGTTCCTTCACTGTGGGCTGACTTCTCAGTTCTTCTCATTATCTCTCAACCCCCCCTCCTTTCCTATCCCACCTGTTTCGCTCATTACCTTGATGCGTGGTGCTGTTGTTTCCTTTCACTTTGAATCCTGTACCCCACTTCCTATCCCTCTCCTTTGCTCACCCTCTCCTTTGCTCACCCATTCCTTTTCTCACCCTCGCCCTCTCCTACCCTCTCCTTTTGCCTGTAACTTATCTCCTTTTCCCGTTCCCTCTCCTCTTCCCTATACCTCTTCCCTTCTGTTCCTCACTCGTTTTCCTTCCCATCTGCATCCCATCTTCATCTCGTCCCCCTTGGCCCCATCCCGCCCACAGGCCATTCCCCCCATTGACCTCTCGCAAGTGTCTCGGGTGCGCTATCTCACTATCACCGGTATGACAATGAGCGGTATGGGCGGAGGCATGGGCGGGGGCATGGGCGGCAGGGGGAGAAGAACGCAGAGGCGAGGGGGGGGCATGGGGGAGCTGTGGGGCATGGGGGAAGGCACGAGCAGCAACATCTCTATAGCCTCCCTTGCTGCGCGGAGGAGCGCCATCAGGGGGCGCATGGGGATGGGCATGGGGGGAGGCGGGATGGGAGGCGGAGGAGGAGGCATGGGAGGGGGAGGCGGAATGGGGGGCGGAGGAGGCATGGGTGGCGGAATGATGCGGTTCATCATCAATGGCAAGGGCTTCATGGATGCTGCCACAGAGGTAGCTGCAGCAGGCGCGTCGGAGCTATGGCACATAGTGAACACGGGCTCGCACGCGCACCCCATTCACATCCACCTGGTGCAGCACCGCCCCATCTCCCACCGCCCCTTCAACGCCTCGGGCTTCCTTAAAGGCTCGTGTGCGCTGAGCGGCAGCAGCAGCAGCAAGCCGAGCTGTTACACCGGGGGTGCGGAGGCGGTGGGGGCGTGGGAGAGCGGGTGGAAGGACACGACGCTTGCGCTGCCTGGGCAGGTGCTGAAGCTGCTTGTGAGGTTCACGGCTCAGGATGGGTCGGCGTTTCCGTTTGATGCGACTGTCGGTCCGGGGTATGTGTGGCATTGTCACATGCTGGAGCACGAGGAGAATGACATGATGCGCCCTCTGCTCGTCACTGCATGATGAATCTGGGTTCGCCTGAAAGATGATCGTGCTAGGTTGATGTGGAAGCGTGCGCTGCCGCCTGATGTTGAAGTTGTGTTTGCATAACGTAAAACACCCGGCATGACATCTCAATGCCATTGTAGGGCAATCGCCCCAGATTTGGCGCCAAGGTTTGGAAACATTCAAGGCAAGGGTTTGGCCGGCGATGGAGGATAGGGTACATATCCAGTGTAGAACATTGTAAGGGACACTCAATTATTCATTTTGAAGACATTGAACGGTAGTTACCTAGTCTTGCTAAGATAGGTTTCAATTAACGAAACTGTGTTTAGGGTAAGCATTTCAGGGTACCTAGATCTGTGGGAGTCTGGCTTGATGGTTCTCGATTTTGCATAGCCGAATCATACTAGTGGCTGAAATTCGAGCTTCTGGGTAGCCCCTTGGTCTGGTCTGGTCCGGGGGCCTCACAACAGATGGGTTTGACATCACAACAAATGCAGATCCATCGGCGCGCAGCAGACATCACGCGATCTTCCCGTCAATCTGCAACGTGGCACGGCGCCTTCCCGCGCCGCGCTAGCGCGGAATTCCGCGAATGTCACCCGAATTCAGATCCTCTCGAATCACACCGTCCGCTCTGATTCCGACAGTTGTACACCTCACCAGCGCGAACCGCACAGCGGGCAAGAACACTCGTGCAGCATTTGCAAGGCAAATTCATGGGCTTCGGTTGCACCCCACCCCCTCCATCCTAGAACCACATTATTCGTGCTCTCGTTTCCCAACCCAAAACTTGGAAAACTTGGATCCTCACGTTCTCAGCTTGTAGCTCAGCCCGCTATCAGCGCGTTTGCACGCGCGAGTGTCATGGCCGCGGCCGCATGTTCTTCCTCCGCCTCCCTCGCCGCTGCAGCGGCAGGGACCAGAGGCTTGCGCGATGAGAGCGAGTTTCGTGGCTCGACTGCGCCCACGCCCTTCACGTCTTTCCATGGCCTCCGCGCGCAGTCCTCCCATTCGCCGCTCGCGCTCCGCCCGCGTACTCAGCAGCCCCGCAAATCCGGAGTCCGCGATCCGCTGGAATCCGTGCGCGGGGTGTCGGTAGTGGCGAAGCAGCGCGGCACGCAGAGGATCGCGAAGACGCAGCGCGGCACGCAACGCGGCACGCAACGGGGCACGAAGCGCGGCACGCAAATCCTTCCGCGGAAGGGCAGAGCGGAGGAGCTCCCACCGTCAAGGGGAACCCTCATCTTCCGCCGAAGAGATTCAGAGGATAGCGCCGCCAGTCGCGGCGGCGCGCAACAGGACGAAGCCGCGGCGGTCCCCGCGCGGCCCGAGGAGCTCCCCGCGTCGCCCGGGCTGTTCTACCCGGTGGCACGGCTGGCGTCGCTGCTGCTCGGCCCTCCCGGCCCTGACGCGAAGACGGTGTTCGTGTCGGGCGGCGCGGCGGGCCCGACGGCGTCACGCGTGGTGGCGGAGCTGCTGGCGGCGGGGTTCAAGGTGCGCGCGGGCGTTGAGGAGGCGGATAAGGACGCGATGAAGCAGCTGCTGGCGCAACTCAAGGTACGCGGAGAGGCGTGGGATGAGCGCAAGGGCAGGACCTGGGTCCTGGATTGTTGAGCTTTGGAACAATCTGATTGACGAAAGAAACCTGAGGCGATGGGTTTTTTTTTGGGGGGAAGAATTTGAATGCGTACGCCCATTAGCTGATCGCCATTGGTTGATCCCCATTGGCTGATCTCCATTGGTTGATCCCCATTGGCTGATCCCCATTGGCTGATCCAAATTGGCTGATCGCTGTGCACGTACCGTTCGTGGAACATCCCCTCACTCATTCCCGTGCTCCACGCATCCCCCGCTCCCTCCCCTCCGCCCCTCCCCTCTCCCCATCCCCCCCCTGCCGTGCAGCCGCAAATTTGCGCGGACGACGCCAAGCGGCTGACCCTGGTTCAGTACTCCGCCCGCGACGCTGAATTCACCGCGCAGGCGATGGCGGGAGCGCGCACGGTCGTCGTCACGCTGGGGCGCGCGGAGAACGGCGCGGGAAGTGCGGGGGTGGTCTCCCCGCAGGACGCGCTGGACCTGCTGCGCGCGGCGGAAGCCGCCCGCGCGGGGCGGTACGTGCTGCTGACGGACTTCGCGCAGGGCTCGGGCGCGCGGGACGGCAGCGTCGTCTCCTCCATGCTCGCGTTCCTGGGGTCAATTGGGCGGCGCGGCGTGTCGTATTCGGGGCTGGCGATGGCGCTGGCGGACAGCGACATGTCATACAGCATCGTGCGAACGGGGTTCTGCGACGGCGTGCCCGACAGCTTCACGGCGCGCTCGCAGCTGGTGGTGGGCGCGGAGGGCAGCATCAACAGCGGCAAGGTGCGCGCCGTGTAGGAGGGCGAGGGGCTGGGGAGATAAGGGCTTGGTGGGAGGGCGAGGGATGAGCGGTAAGCATGGGGCTTCTGGCAGAGAGGGGTGGGGAGGGGGAGCGAGGAGAAAGGCGGAGATGCGCAGCGGGTCGTGGTGGCCTGGGGGGGAAGTGAAAGGTTGGTGCTGGCTTGCGCCCGTGTCTGCAGAGAGGCATGCTGCTCGGGTGGTGTGCCAGCGTGGTTCCACTCGGTTCCTGGTGGCGGTAGAGCGACCGCGCTGATCAATCCCCGCATCCGCGTGTGCTTTGGAGGCAAAGTTTGTCTGCCTTTGCCTCTCAACCATCCTTCCCCTCTTACTGCGTTCCCCGTTTCACACTCCCACCTCGTCGTCAACCTCGCCCTGCACCCTCTGCCCCCCGCTCTCCCCTCCGCTATGTTCCCCCTATTCCCCCGGCTCTCCCCCCTTTGTGCCGCAGATATCGCGCGTGCAGGTGGCGCAGCTGGTGGCGGCGCTGCTGAGCGATCCGGAGATGGCGCGAGATAAGGTGAGGCAGGGTGATGCTGGGGGTGGCGGCAGACGGCATGGGAAGGGAGAGCACAAGGGGAAAAAAACAATTTCAAATGCCGCTTGATTTATCCAGATGGTCAAAGGCAGGGAGGAATGAACGAGAAAGCAAAGAAATTCTATCCCCTTGAACACATGTCTGAGCACGTGCACATGCCTGCTCCGATTGCACGTCCTGTGAGGTGGTAGTGCCACGCGTTCCCTCCGCTGTTGGCACGCCCAAGCGCGCCCTGTAGCCTGCATCCTCCCTGTTGCCTTACCCATTCCTGGCCCCTCTCTTGCGCGCCACTCCTCTCGCGCGCTCTCCTCTTGCCCCTATTCGTGTGGTGCAGGCCTTGGACGTGGTGGCGAGTGAGAGCGCCGAGGCCGTCCCCCCGCGAGTTGACTTTAGAGTCGACTTAAAAGCCCCTCTTTGTGTACCCCTCCTCTTGCCCCTGTCCGTGTGGTGCAGGCCTTGGACGTGGTGGCGAGTGAGAGTGCGAAGGCCATCCCCCTGCGCGACATGCTCAGGTGCGCTGCTGCTGCTACCCACACCACGTGGATGAGAGTGGTGTGAAGTTGCGTGCCACGCAAAACGGAAACAGCGATCAAGTGAACTCTAAAAGAACTGCAAGCCATCATGACATGACATGACATGACATGACATGACATCATGGCACTGATGCTGTGCACGATGAGGCCACGTGAGGCTGAGAGGTAGTGCACATACCAAGTATTGCAGCCAGGGCTGTCACTACCAGTATTGAGAGTACCATACACATTTCAGACGCCCTGGCATCCGCTTTCACCAATTCACCAATGGACCTGCGCCTGTGTTACCTCACACGCCTGCCCCCGTACTCATCCTGCCTACCTGCTCGCTGCCTCCTTCCTTCTTCCCATCTCACCCCTCCTGCCTCATCATGCAGTCTCGTCCCCCCTGACCCGCGGCGGGCCAACAAGTTGCTGGCGGCAGAGCAGGAGCAGGAGGAGGCAGCAGCGGCGGCGGTTAGAGAGGCAGCAAGCAGGGAGGCGGCAGAGAGGGCAAAGCAGGCAGAGGCGCTGGCTAGAGCGGCTGAAGAGAAGGCCGCTGCTGAGGCCATGGCAGGTGAGGCGTGGATGCTGGTGTTGGGAGATTTGTTGTGTGTGGGTGATGGGAGATGGGTGCTGTTTGTGCGGGGTTTGATATAGGTGCTGTGCGTGATTCCTGAAAAGCACGGAATGTAGCAGAACCAAAAGTGGGTGTACCTCAATGCCCCTTCATTCTCCCCTCTGCATCGTCCTTCAACTTTTCACAATAGTCTTATCTCCCCTCTATCCCCCACTCCATCACATCTCCCTCGCACCTCCAGCCAAGGCAGCACGGCAGGCAGCAGAGACAGCCAAGGCGCAGGTGAACGCACAAGCAGCAACAGCGACCGTATCTGACATGGTGGGCTTTCTCAAGGGCGCATCCTCCGACCTCCCCACGCCCAAGTCCGTGCTCCCCTCCTTCGCCAGCCTCGTCCCTAAAACAGACGTGTTTGAGAGCTCCCAGTCCCAAGACTCTGCCTCAGACCGCGCTGCTCCCAGTGCTACTCCTGCTGTTTTTGCTGCCCCTGCTGCTCCTTCGTTTGCCAGCCTTGTCCCGAAAATCCCTGGCATTACTCCCTCCTCGGCTGCTGCAGCGGTGTCCGCTGCTGCTGCTTACCCTGCTGCGCCGTCCCTAGCTTCTGCTGCAGCTGCTGTGACGGGTGTGGTGGCAAATGCAGCAGGGATTGTGGGAGGTGGTCGGGGGGGGACTATAAAAGGAACGGCAGGGGGTGCTGCTGCTGCTGCTACTGCTGCTACTGCTGCTGCTGCAGGGTTGGCGTCTAAGCAGAGGAGACCGCTGAAGCAGAGGGAGGGTGGGCAGGGGAAGAGTGGGGGCAAGGCAACACAATCACAAAGAACCGGGGACAAGAATACCGAGAAGAAGACAGGGCTTGGGGGATTTTGGCAGCAGGAAACAATGTATGTGGACAGTGTAGAGGCTGGCGATTTCTGAGAGCCGTATCAGCTTGGCTGATGGTTTATTTGTGTGATTGAACTGCCATGTGCATGTGTGTGTACGTGTGTATGTGTGTGAAACAGATGTCGGCATTTAATTTTGAATTTGCTGTCGATTATTCAAATTTGCATCCGCCGTTGTGCATGTGTGTGTGGGCATCAGTCCTAATACTGGTACCGTATTCTCCCGGACATAACACCCGCCGAAATTGTACACCCCCCCGGGTAGCTTGTGAGGGGAGGGTGTTATACGAGACCTCGTTTGTATTATACCCCCATTTTTGGGATGATTTTCTATAACACCCCCCTTTTCATATAGATTTCTAATTAAAATAGCTGATAACGAGTAGGTGCAAGTATGGTATGACGCGAAAATCCCTCCCTCAATGAAATTACACGGAACTTTCAAATGATATCAGCCGAGATTCCCCCCCACCCACAATTTCGCTGTCCCCACCAGGGCCCAAAATTTCGCTCTCTCAATGAAATTACACGGAACTTTCAATCGCTGCCCACCCTGACTGTTGAAAACATGTACCGTAATCCCCTGTATATAGGACCCCCCCCAGTTGTAGACCCCCGGGTCTATAATACGGCACCGGGTACTCTATTCGTGTACATCTGAGTTATACCCCCCCAAATGGCCCCTAACATTATAAGACCCTGTCAGAATGTGATGTTTGTCTAGCCTGCAGTGGGGTACTCTATAGCGAGTACAACTCGAATTGGGGTTTCCTATATGTACTCAACTGCTTGCTAGTGAAATCCCTCTTTGCCTATTTCTCGTTTTCGCCTACTATCTTGACATGCTATCAGAGCAGGTCGACCCTCTTGGGTCGATCCTGTGGGTGGTCCCGCCCGATGCTTCCGCTGCTGTCTTGTGTGTCGCGCGCCCCGTGGCGCGCGGCGGTTTTTTCTTCCCGCCACGCGCTCGGAGCGCCTGGCGGATTTCTGCTCGCCGCGCGCACGAATCGCGCGGCGGTTTTCTGCCCGCCATGCGTCCCGAGGCGCGCGGCGGTTTCCTACCCCGTCGACCCGCGCGTCGCCCCCCGTCGCCCGTCGAAGCGCCCCCCGTCGCCCGTCGAAGCGCCCCTGGGCCCCGCGCGGGCCGCGCGCGGCCCGTACGACCTGCGCCAGGCCTGCGCGCGGCCCGTACGGGCTGCGCCAGGCCCGCGCGCGGCCCGTACGGGCTGCGCCAGGCCCGCGCGCGGCCCGTACGGGCTGCGCCAGGTCCGCACGCGGCCCGGGCGGCCCGCGCGCGGTTCGTTCGGCCTGCGCACGCCGTTCCCCGTGCTGCTGACCGTGCCCCACCCCTGCTGCTGCCCGCGCTCCTGTTTTAGGGTTTGGGGGTGGAGAGTATGGGGGTGCCGTGTGTGTGAGCCGTCCCCTGCTCCTCCTCCTCCTCCGTCTCCCACTGCTGCAGCTGCCGCTGAGGGGGGTGGATGTGTTGGAGCCGTCGGAGTGGTACGAGGGGGGTGGCGTGTGAGCGGTGCTAGTGGTTCAACAGGGAGTGTGTGAACGGGGTGTGGGACAGTTGGGGGAGGTTGACCGGAGGTAGCCGACTTGTCGTCCGCAGCGCCTGAAGTCCAGGGAGCCACGACCCCCTGTGGCCTGAGTAGTCCGGGGCTCTGCGCCCGGTAGCCACAGTGTGAGCACTCCTGGTAGTCCAGAGAGCCACGACCCCCTGTGGCCTGAGTAGTCCGGGGCTCTGCGCCCGGTAGCTACAGTGTGAGCACTCCTGGGAGCACAGTGAGCCAGCTGCGTCTGTCGCCGTGTAGTCCGGGTTTAGCCTGGTAGCGACAGTGCTGCGCACTCCTGCTGCCCGTGTGTCTGCAGCTTCGGCCGTCGCCTCCCATCTTCTCGCCCCCACAGTTTCTCCTCCTCCTCACTTGCCCTCTGTGAGAACCTCTAGCTTTGCTTATAATTATGAACTATTGTTCTGCCTGCTTGTTGTGTTGATTGTACCCCACTTTGACTATGGGGGTGTGTCAGAATGTGATGTTTGTCTAGCCTGCAGTGGGGTACTCTATAGCAAGTACAACTCGAATTAGGGTTTCCTATATGTACTCAACTGCTTGCTAGTGAAATCCCTCTTTGCCTATTTCTCGTTTTCGCCTACTATCTTAACAGACCCCCCCCCCCCCCCCCCCCCCCCCCCCACATCATAGAGAAGTGCGGATTTTACAAAGATGCAATTGAAAATGGTCAAATTCAGTGTTGATTAACACAAATCGCACCCATGAACACACATGCACACCCACATTACCACCCTAATGGACACCAAGTGGTTTTGGTGGCCAATGGGAGGAGGCTCCCAGATAGGGTTCGTGATGACGTGGGTTCGGCCCGTGTGGAGACCAATTCGAGTATATTTGGCAGGAGCTAAAAACGGAGCACTTCCAAATCACTACTTTGCGCTCCAAAACTACATTCTTATAAATGTCAATATGAACAGACCCGGGTCTTCTAAAAAATACACCATGTAATTATACCCCCCAGCCTATTTAGGGGTGATTATCATAAGACCCTAGGGTCTTATATACGGGGGATTACGGTAGTTCGTGTTAGAAAGTCTAGGCAAGAATGAGTGCATTGAAAGAAGGTTGGGTACAAGTAACAAACCCTAGAGGGGTTGTACCCCATATTGGCTACCCCACTACAACCTACACAAGTATAACATATATAATTTGACACACCCCCATAGGCAAAGTGGGGGAGAGCAAGGGGTCACAAGACCAGTCAAGAAAAGCAAAGCAAGCTCAGGGTGGATCACAACGTCACCACACACACTGAGCACAAGCAAAGGGCCACAAGGCCAGTTCACATGCAGAGGTATATATGCAACAAGAACAGTACAGTGATCACTACCTAGCAAAAGCAAGCATGCAGGTATATATATATATAGATCACAGTACAAGCAGAGTCTACAGCAAGTGAGGAAACGTAGGCACAAGGCCCAACAAAGTACAAAAACGTTGATGGTCACCAGACGGAAGTGCCTTGGTGAATATATCAGCAGTGTTGGCCTGAGTGGCCACGTGTGCAAGACGAAGCTGACCGCGCTGCTGCAACTCTCGAGCCAGGAAGTAACGGAGAGCGATGTGCTTCGTTCTGTGCTCCTCACACAAGGCAATGACGGCCTTGTTGTCGACGTACAGCACTGGAGGAGAACGAGGCCGCTCTCCCAAGTCGGTCAGCAGGTAGGTAAGCCAGCGTAACTCCTGAGCAGCCATGGCAGTGGCGTAGATCTCAGCCTCACAACTGGAGCTGAGAACAGAAGACGAGCGAGTAGAACGCCAAGAAACAGAACCGGAGCCAAGGCTGAAAGTGTAACCCTGTGACGACCGCTGCGTAGCCTGGTCGTCAACCCAAGAAGCGTCTGAGTGTCCAGTGAGGACCACGTCTCTCTGCCCTCCAAGCACGAGCCCCATGCCCGATGTACTGCACAAGTAACGCAACACCCTCTTCGCGGCATCCCAGTGCACCTTTCGGTGTCGACCAGGAGCCACGTAGCGTGCCAGAAGGCCAAGAGGGTACGCAAGGTCAGGA